TTTCACATTTTATAATGAAAAAACCAGATCTACTTTCTGTATATAATTATGTCAGTAGAAAATAAGTTGATTTATTATAAATAAAGTTCCATAAAAATATAGTTATATGTAGAAATAAGAGATAAACATATTGTTTCCTTTAGTTCTAAAGCATATTTAACATTGTATTCAACTCTGGTCTGTAGACTAAAATGGTAAAAAAATATATTACTTTAAAAGATATGAACTATAATTCAGTCCTTCTAAGTTATGACTTACTTAATTTAGTGTTCTTTCTCAATGCTCCTTCAATACTGTTTTTCTTTCCATTGTATTCACCTCACTATGTTATAATTATTTTAGTCATTAAGATCTTGAAGTGTCTGAGTTCAGTCCCTAGTCTACCACTAACTGGCTGTGTGACCTTGAAAAAGTTTCTTAACTTCGAAAGTTTAAGAGTTGTCTCATAAAATCGGTAACGTGGTAGTACTTTCCTCATTCATTAAGATTTTGAGACTTGAGTGAAATAATGCATGTAATGCATTTATCACAGTGCTTGGGCATAATAAGAATTTATGTGTTGGATGGTGATTGATTTAAGAGCTATGGCTGCTAACTAAAAGGTCAGCAGTTTGAATCCACCAGCCGCTCCTTGGAAACCCCATGGGGCAGTTCTACTCTGTCCTATAGGGTCGCTATGTGTCGGAATCCACTCGAAGGCTACAGGTTTGGTTTTTAGACTGTGTGCTCCCTGAAGGTAGGGGCTGGGTCATGTTGTAGAAAACTCAGTATCCTCAGCACAGAGCATGGTGCTTAGTATATTGTATAGGCCCAGTGTACATTAAATTTATATCTGTAAAGTAAAAAATTCTATTTCATTTCTTTCCAACAGTTTTAACACAAGCTAAGCGATATGCTTTTTTCATGCCAACTCTGCCAAGTTTAGTTTCTTTTTGTCGAGCATTTCCTCCACTGTATGAGGATATTATGTCTTTGCTAATCCAAATAGGGCAAGTCTGTGCCTCTGATGTGGCCACTCAGACAAGAGACATCGATCCAATTATTACACGTAAGTAGTTACTTATTCTTAAGAGTTAGCTTAATATCTCAAAAAAAAAAAAAAAAGAAAAGAGGCCAAAATCCTTTCCAGATTTCTTTCCTTAATTTATTTTTCTTTCCTTATGTTTTTAGGTCTTCAACAAATAAAAGAGAAACCAAGTGGATGGTCTGGACTCTGTAAAGATCCGTCTTACAAAAATGGATCTAGGGAGGCTAGAAGCATGGATCCTGATGTGCAGCTCTGTCATTGTATTGAAAGCACAATAATTGAAATAATAAACATGAGTGTTAGTGGAATTTAAAAAAAAAAAGCAAAAAATGAAGCTGTTGTATATACCCAACATGAATCTGCATCTTATAACAAATGTTAAACTGGATGGGAACAGTAATGTCTTGGAATCACTAAAACGATTCCATTCAACATGAATACAACTTAGAACTCTCTGAGAATTATGCTTGCCTGTATATGATTGACAGTTTGCTGGTATGTTTATATTGTAGCAGCTGACCTTTTTTTTTTTTCCATTGGGAGCACATTTAAGAAACTCATTACTGGAAAGTGAATCTGGCATCGTGTTTAGCTTTAGAAGTGAAGAAAGACTTCCATGCCTTTAATTATAAAAATGAGCCTTTGGGTAGCCCTAGTGTTTATTTTAACTTTCAGATTGTTACAGAGTGCTACAATGCTGCAGTGATGGCAGGGAGAAGGGCTCAAGGGAAGGGAGAATTCAGGAAAAACTAGGAGTTAAACACCCAAATAGAAGTCTCATAGACTTTCAGTGCAAGTTATAGTAATGCAAGATGGAATTCCAGTTCTCAAGAAAGTGTTGAGAAGGCTTTAAAGAAGGCAAATTACTTTTATAATGATTTCCATGGAATTATAGATGAGAATTTAAAGATTTTACATTTTTGCTTCAGTTTTTACTAATATATGAAGCCATATGTTTAAGGAGATACTTGAATAATTTGGGATTTTAAGAATCATCTTTGTGCAAAGAACCTGAAAGGAAATCTCATTTAGGTTTTTCTTTTTTTAAAATTATTTTTATAATGATTTACTAACTTATCTAATGCTCAGAAAGGGAAAATAAACAAAATTTAGAGCAATAAAACCCACTGGATTAAAGAGCTCTTGGTTTGTCATCAGGATTATAATTCATATCTTACCTTGATACATTGTTTGAGTAGGAAAATATATACAGTATTGAACCTCAGGAAAAATTAAAATATGGAAAATACCATCTTGCTGACAGATTTTGCAGTCTTCTGCTAGAAACTTCTGTTGATTAAGTAGATGTATTCAGGTAACCTATAATCCTCATTTTTTAAAAAATTAAGTGTCCAATGTTTAAGGTACTTTGCTTTCTGAGATATATCTTAATGACACTTTCCCCCAACACACACTCAAAACAGATCTCTTCACTGTTTTGAAAATAACAGTGAGTAAATAAGTCAGCCAGATAATAAGAAAATGTGGTTTTTAAGAAACGAAATTTAACTTCAGCCTTTCACTAGTGAATAGTAACGTCTCATTTGACTCCTTTGTAATGGGATCACTATTGCCCCTACCTCATAACAGTATCATATAAGAAATAGTTTGTAGCTATTTCAAATCATGAAGTACATAGTATCATACATGATAGAATATTTATAACTTTTATTAGATGCTTAATGTTCAATTAAGTAGTTTTTACGGAAAAAATAAAAAATAAATTCTTAAACAACGTAAGAATTTTCCTATTTTTAAACAAAGCAGTTTTGTAGTCTCTTAAAACTAAATAAAACTGCTTTTTTTTAAAAAAAAAAACAAACAAACTGGGGCCTTGGAATATTTTGTGTGACTAGGCGTCCTCTAGGAGTTCAGAAAAGGTTGAAGTATGTTTTCTAACTAAATGCAGTGCACATTCCTGGATCAATTTTCCAAGACTGGTCAAAACCTGCTGTGTTAAAATAATAACATATGCTGTTTTTCTTCAGATTTGTTGATGATGTAAAAATATGTAAATATATTAGCAAATGTTAATATTCATGTATTTTAAGTTAAGGTTATAAAATTTGTCACAATGTGATTTTTTTTATTCAAGTGAAAACAGATGTGTGCAGCTATTTTGAATATTGATTTATAAACATTCATATTCTTTATCAGATGAACTTGTAATTTTGTTGTGTTTAATTCCACTACTGTTAACCTGAAAGCACAGTTCAAAGGACTGGAATCTAGGACTGTCTGCCTCCAGAGCCTATGTGTATTCTTTGTGTTATTCCACATACATTAAATGTCAATACAAGGTTAAAGCCAGTTGACAGCCTTAGAGATTTAGGAGAGGAAAATTACAGTAGTTACCTGGAATAGTTATTTAAAAGATTTGATATATAAAAAATTTGTAAAAGCAGAATAACAATTTGAAGGTATTTTAATGGATTATAAATAAATGGCATTATTCTTCCACTGTCCTAACAGTAAATTACATTTTTGTACTTTCCATTCATCTTTGTTTATGCGTACGTATTTCCACATAACCAAATTCTTAATACCCATTTTGGAGTCTGCTTTTTTCCATTTAACTTTACATGGAATTTTTCCCTGCAAGTTGTTTAGATTTTATAATTACTTTCATAATCTGTTGATTTCATAGATCATAATTTAATCATCTCACCATCACTTCTGGGAAGTTTATCATTTTTCAGTATTACAAGTATGCATTTTTATCAGTTGAGGTGTTAACACTTTTTCAGGATAAATTTCTGGGACAGATTACTAGGTGAAAGGATAAAACTTATTGTTATGACTACAAGTTTTGACTTTTTGGGAAGATGTAGGAAAAAAACCATAAGGCAAACAAATCAACTTGCCCCGTTCCCAACCCTTGCTCCCAAGAAGCTTCCCCTCCCCAAACTCTAGGTACTAGAATTTGAGAAGCTGCGTCAGGTTTTTTTTTGTGGCACTAGTATTTGAGCATGCTTAGTAGAGGGTCAGCGAAAAAGAGGAAGACCCTCAACGAGAGGGATTGACACAGTGGCTGCAACAACAGGTTTCAAACATCACGATTGCGAAGATGGCGCAGGACCGGGCAGTGTTTTGATCTGTTGTATACAGGGTCCCTGTGGGTCGGCACTGACTCCACAGCACCTAACAACAGTATTTGAGCTAAGTTTAGGCTATACAAAAACTTTTTTTAAACAAGCATAATTTGGCGAGATCATGATTATCCTTGTCTTTGTATACTTCTTGGCAAAGAAAAAAATGGTCTCGGAGGGGTGAAAGGTGGATAAACCTTAGTGGAGGTTGAAGTAATCTGGGGCTGGAGACCTCGAGAGCGTGCCTCTAGCGGAATTTGGTTATCTGGAAAAGCCTTGAAGACTATGACTAAGATTTGAATACTCCAGCCAGTTGTCATAGAACCTCTTCGCCTAATTTGGCTCACTAGTCCGGCAATTTTCGCTTCACAATCTTTTTGATACTCCAGGTACTGTAAAGTTCGGAAATTTAAAGTGGCACTAAAGAATGCTCAGAGAACTCAGCAAGGCATTTCCTTTTCACTGCTCTACGAACTTTAAGAATGAGATTTCGGGTTTCCAAGGAAACTGCTGCCGTGGTTAAATTACCTGCTTCAAAGTCTGGCGGAGAAGGTGCTTTTCCTTTAAAACCTCAAGATTTGCGAGAATGGTTTACTTTTCTGGTAATCTACCTTCCGGTGACGCCAAGTACCCTGGGGCTGTTCTTATTTCGGAGGCTTGGATTGGGTGCCAGAGCGCTCGCCGCCTATCTTTGAGCCAGGATTGGTCGCTTGATTTCTGGTCTGGGCGGGTGATTGGCTGCCTGAGCTCGCTCGGCGATTGGGTGCTGGGAGTCGAACGGGTGGGAAGCGGGAATTCGTCGGGAAGAGTGTAGCTGAAGGCGTTTCACTAGACTTCAAGGGGAGAAAAGGTAAAGCCGCCCCGAACTTGGGAGAAGGAGGGGGCAGTAGCGACCCAGTGAGAAACGCGGAGGGTTGAGGCTTGAGTCCTTTCTTCTCAGCCAGGGCTTCGCATAATTTGCTCTTAGAAATCGGCTACCTTTTCTCCCGTGAATCAATATTGCTTCGGTTTTCCTCAGGACTGCCGAGTTTGTCTCTCCTTGGGAGGGCGCGAAGCCTTCCGGTAGGGTGCCTTCGGCTTTCGCCCAAGTCGTTTTGCAGGCCCGTCGGTGTTGTTTGGAACCCCTGGGCCTTGGGGATCACAACTGCCTGTGAGAGGAAGGAAGCGAGGGGAAGAAAACCTGGGTAGACGGGAGTCCCTTCCCTACCCCCCTGGAGCGGTGTTACTACCTCGGATTGCCGCGTTACCTCTTGGCCGGAGAGGCGCCAGGCGGCAGTCGGTTTGTTTGCCCGTTATGCAGTGTTACCGGGAAAACATCCCGTTTGAGACGCACGTTGCCGCAGCTGAAGTGGAGGATGGATTGATTTCTAGGTTATAGCTAAGTAGTTAGGGTGGCCTTGAGTTGTTGATTCGGATTGAGATTAGATTCCACCAGATGCCATTCTTAGAGTTTTACAGAGAGAATCACAACATTTTAGAACGGAAAAATACCTTAGTAGAATAGTGGTTCTTAACTTTTGGAATACACAGCTATGATTAAGTTTATTATTGGCTTCATAATCTATTGTATTGCTGTATTATAGTTTAACTATCCCTCTATCCCTAGGTTGAATTTACCATTTTTTCACTATTGCAAATAATTTTCCTAAATTGCTAACATTTTCAGTTTTTATTTTCTCTGTTTTAGGTTATTTCCTTAAGATATATTTATGTGAGTGAGAAATCTATGGACTTTCTCAGAAGAATGCTATCAGCCACAGACAACTTCAAGAGGTCACAGTTTTTGAATTACACCTAGAGATCCTAGGTTAAAAACAATGGTTAGAGGAGGCGGAATTAAAGTGGATCACTTTCTCTGTGTCAGATGCTGGATTAGGTGCATTCTGTACATTATTTAATTCTTAACTCAGTGCCTGGCTAAATATTGTTATTAATTTACATGAAAACTCTATCAGGTAGCTAGTATTATTTCCATTTTACAGATGAAGAAACAGGCTCAGAGAGGTTAAGTGAGTCACATAGTGGAATTCAGATTTAGGTCTGCCTTATTCCAAAGCTCATCCTCTTTTCACTATACCTTATTGAGCACCCTCTATGTTCCAAGGCACTTTCTTCTTTACAGTAACCTTTAAATTAGAGATTATTACAGTTAAGGGTCTTAGTCCAGAGAAGTGAAAAGACATATCTGAGTTGCTGTCAGACCTGATGCGGAACCTAAATTTCCTGACTCCTGGTCCACAGGTCTTTCCTTCTAACCGGCAAACTGCAGAAAGGGAAAACAGGAAGGGACAGAATAGGAGGAGAAAAAGAATCGTGATGCGGAGTTGCAAAGAGCCTTTATAAGGAATCTGTTTGTTTCTATAGACTGATTATATCTGATCGAATTTGTAATAAGAGCTCATGTTTAATTGGGCACCTAATGCGTCCTTTTTGCGCATTATTTCATTTAATCTCTATAGCAATCTATGAGGTGGATACTATTACAGTCCGTATTTTACAGATAAGGACACTAAGGTCTAGAGAAGTTAAGTAACTTGCCCAAAGTCACACCAGTAATACATAGTGGAGTAGGGATGCAAATCCAGATTTGTCAGACTACAAGTCGTTTCGCAGGCCCATTGTTGCTGTTGAGTTTGCTCTGACTCATGGCGATATTATGTACAACAGAACAAAAAGTTGTCAGGTTTTGGGACAGTTCATGATTGTTGGTATGTATGGATCCATTGTTGCGGCTAATGTGTAGTGCTTTCTAACTTGAGGGGCTTATTAGTAATGTCTTAGTTATCTAGTGCTGCTGTAACAGAAATACCACAAGTGGGTGACTTTAACAAACGGAAGTTTATTTTCTCACAGTTTAGGAGACTGGAAGTCCGAATTCAGGGTGCCGGCTCCAGGGGAAGGCTTTCTCTCTCTGTCGGCTCTGGAGGAAGGTCCTTGTTTCTTTGAGCTTCTGCTTCTGGGCTATCTTCATGTGGCTTAGCATCTCTTTTCCCCCATTTCTGCTTCTCTAGCTTGTTTAATTTCTTTTATATATCAAAAGAGATTGATTTAAAACATACCCCACACTAATCCTGTCTCATTAACATAAAAAAGAGAACGCATTCCCAAATGGGGTTATAACCAAAGGTGTAGAAGTTAGGATTTACAACACATACTTCTGGGTGACACAATTCAGTTCATAACATGATCCATAGATTTTCACTGGCTGATTTTCAGAAATAAATCGACAGGCCTTTCTTCATAGTCTGTCTTAGTCTGGAAGCTCTGCTGAAACCTACCCACCATGGGTGACCCTGCTGGTTTTTGAAGTACTGGTGGTATAGCTTCCAGCATCATAGCAACACTCAAGCCACTACAGTATGACAAACTGACAAATTCTTTTGCTTCTATTTGTTTTGTTGATATATTTGTTAATTCCAATGTTTATTTCTAGACTTCTGTCCTAGTGTTGAGTGTCTGGTTTTCTTTGAGTATCATAGTTTCAGTATTGATTTTCATTTTTGTTGCAGTTAGGAATCTGAAATAAACAAGAAAGCATGATGTCTTCACTATGTTCTGAATATACAATTGGTGGGGTGAAGATTAACTTTCCTTGTAAAGCTTACCCATCACAGCTTGCTATGATGAATTCTGTAAGTAATTTTCAGAAGTTTTTTTAAGTCTTTATTAAGATACAGACGCTTATGATCCATAATATATTTTGAGTTTGACTGCGTTCATTTTCTTAGATAGTAAATGGATTGAGAGTATTTTCTCAGTTCATTTGGAAGAATATAAAAAAAAAAAACCTAACCTTTGGCAAAATAAATACTATTGATCACTACTAAACTGTATATGTTTATGGTTAGGAGGCAAAGGAGAGCATTGTAAAAAAATGTTCTCAGTTCATTTGGAACATCTATTTACTGAATTATTGCTTTCAACAAAGTATCTACTATATTTTAGACAGAATACTTTGTTTTTCACCATTAATTTTTCTGATGTATTTTTATCATACAGAAAATTAACATGCAAACTTGTGTAAATCAACTTTCCTGCTTTGTTAAATCTTAATATTTTGGTATAATCATATCTCATTTGCTAGTAACGAGGTTACTAGTATCCTCAATTTGGTCTTATCTTTCCCAGCATGTTTTAATATGTTTATTACATATGTATGTATCCATAAATAATATATACTATTATTTTACATATTTTAAAGTTTGTATAATGTTATAATATTATCTTTATCTTTCTGCAGAACATGATTTTTTTTGACAACATTGTTTTTAAGATGTAGCCATTTTGATTATTGATACATTTTAATGACTATGTAGCATTCTGTTGTATGAATATACCAGAATTTGTTTGTCCATTTTCCTATTGATGGACATATAGATTGTTTACATTCTTTTACAGAGACAAACAGTGCTGCTGTGAGCTTCTTATACATGCTTCCTTGTGTTCGTGTGGGAAAGGTTTAGAGTACGTACCTAGAACTGAACTTGCTGGAAATGGGCATCTTCAACTTTGCTAGAAATTTCTGTACAAAGTGATTATAACAACTAACACTCCCACTAGCAGTATCTGCATTAGGTTTTCAGCAAAGATATTAATAGGTATTAGTGTTACCGCAATGGCGGGTCTGAGCCACCTGCTGCAGAAGCCAATACTGAGACAGGGGTGAGGTGAGCAGCAAGAGTGTTTTATTGTACATCGATATACAGGAGACAGAGGGAACTGAGCTCCCCCAAAAGACCTGTCTCCCCACTGAAGACTGCTTGAAAGTTTTTATATGGACAAGATTATAGTTTCTCTTCCCGTGGTTACATTTTGCATTCCCCAGATGATTTACCTTCTTACTGACAATCCTTGAAGGTCACCTGGCACTGTTAGTTACAATTGTCACGTCGCAGATGAGTTAATTCTAGTCCTTGAGGGTTATCAATTTGTTCTGCCACCCTCCAAGAAGAAACTTTAGTTAATCTTACTGGAATAGGAGGAGGGAGAAAGAATAACAAAAAAGACAATATCATGGGAAAGCAAGAGGGGAGAATAGGAGGAAAATAAATCAAAATCATAGGAGCATGCAAAAGTGAACTGTGCAAGCTAGGCATTAACAATACCACAATACCCAGGAAGCTAGGCCTATACTGCTGGCAGTAAACAGTGAATATGAAATTTCTACGCAGCCCCTTTCATTAGTGTATTCCAGTTTTGCAGACATGAAGGTATTTGCATAATTAAGGCACAGATTGCTTTCTCCTTTATTTTTTCTCTCATGATTGATATACTTGTAAGTTCCACATAATTTAAGGGAGAAGCATAAAGGCCTAGATTTAACTAAATACTTGTTCTTTCTTTTTATATTGCTGTGTTCTTGGAGTGCAACCTCACTTCTTGCTATTCTTTTTGTACTTCTGATGGACAGAGACCCTAATGAGGTAAAATGCTTACTGATTTTTTATTGTTTTTGTGTTAATAGATTGTCAGAGGATTAAACAGTAAGCAGCATTGTTTGTTGGAGAGCCCCACAGGAAGTGGAAAAAGCTTAGCCTTACTTTGTTCTGCTTTAGCATGGCAGCAATCTCTTAGTGGTAAGTAGCTGCTTGATATCTTCAAGTTGCCTAGTGAGACCTGAAAGTACTCTTTATTCAGAATGGTTCAGCCATGTTCTAGCTAATTTAAATATTCTCTTTTTAAGATATTTCTTTACACTAGGCTATATATCTTCCAAAAGAGTTTCAGTATAGAAAAATATATTTAAGTAATCCTAAAATAATATTGAACATAATTTAGTCTTTTATATGATGATTCAAAGAGTACATAAGAATCTTGGAATGCTTAGAATTATCATGAAAATAACTCGATCATAATTTGTATGTGAAATATGTAAGAGATGGGGCTGTCACAATGCTATCACATATACTAAAAGTTTTTTCTCTTTTTCCTGAGTAAATGCTTTAATATATTTATCTGTCCCTTCCTAACGTTAGAACATGGAATACGTATATAAAAAAACATTCTAGTTGAGCTTTCTACTTGTTTGGATGCCAGATAAGCACAAGTTTATTGTAATGTTGTTTGTATGAATTCATATTATTTTTATTACTTTATTTGGTAACAAATACCTGGCAATGTTTTCTTTTACTGAAAAACTATATAATCTACATAATTTAAAATACAGTATTGGCTATATTTTAGTTACATAATTAGATGGCTTTGACCTAATGTATGTGGGAAATTTGAAGCTAATCATGGGTGTGTGTGTGTGTGTATTTTTTTCCTGATAAGACTGTATTGAAAATAAAAAGTAAATATTTTACAAGTTTTTGGTGGTCCATTTTGATTATTGAGTTATTCTTTGAGGAAGAATGAGATTATCAGTTAATAACTTAAACTTTTAATAGGAGAGCTCTGAAAAATAGAATTAGTAGTATTTATGTGGTATAGATGGGAATATAATATCACTACTATTTATAGCAAGTAAATTATTTAGCGTTTTTTTTTTTGATATATTTGAAATGTAGACCTATTACAATTCTGTATTATATTTAGGAATTAAATTTTACCCATTTCATTGAATTAAAATATTAATCTTAAAGTGTCATTTGATACATGTATGAAAATTGATACATCAAACAACATGTTTTTGACCAATATCTCTCATGAATATAGATGCAAAAATTCTGAACAAAATTCTAGCCAATAGAATTCAGCATCATATCCAAAAAATAATACACCATGACCAAGTAGGATTCATACCAAGTATGCAAGGATGTTTCAGCATTAGAAAATCAATTAACATAATCCACCACATAAATAAAAGGAAAGAAAAGAAT